CGTACTTTGCAATACGACACAGTATACAATTACGCATCCAACCAATGCAGGAGAGCACGTCAGAATTGCCGGAATACAATTGCGTCGTATTATGCTTCTCGATACGTTCGAGAGGATCATGTAACACGTAGAGATATTAACCCTCAGGTGCACGACATGTTACGTAATGCGTGTAGGTGAAACGACCGATTCAATCCGACAAGATTATAGATGTGCATGCTGTAGTATTTGCAAGTTGGCCTAAATTCCTTAATTAGACCATTAACATGATATTTCGGAATAAAAATCAAGAAATTAATTCGTCAATTAAAAAAAAATGAAATAATCAGAATTGAAATATTTGCAGTCTACCTCCATAAGTACTTTATTTTTTAAATATGTACACGATAAATATTAAAAGAAGAATAATTAAAAGAAGATGAGACGAAACTACATATTTAATCCATTCTTAAAAAAAAAATATTTGAAATCGAAATCGAATTTATTATTGTTTTTTTACTGCGATAATCTAATTGATCATCTCAATCTCGATGCGTTGGCGCATAACTCCATATCGTGAACGGATCATTACATATTTTGATAATTCAATTTTAAGATTAAATATTATAGAGTTATGATTAAATCTACTATTCTAATTGAAAATATAATTTTCAAGAAAAAATGGCGCGAATAAAACGCGCGCTATAGTGTTTTAGTTTTAATAAAGTAGTAAAGGAAACCTTGTTCTTCTCATCAAAAATTCGCGAAGTTTGCAGAAAACAATGTTCTCCGATCGTTGCATTATGCAAACAAGAGAAAATAGTTGACTTCTGATAATTAAAATAACTTCCGTCGGATTAGCTATGATACATTAAACGCAGCGTTATCTTGGTAGCGCATTAGTCTATTTCCTTCCAAATACCTGCGACATTACTCATAATTAATTCCTTATTTTTCTTTAAATTAGCAATCATGTCTTTTCAACCTTAAGCTAAAGGCATAGATGTGCAAAATTTGGAAAATTACATAATGCGAAATTATTGCAAATTATAAGTTATTATTTGACACTATCAATTCTTACTATAAATTATATTTCAAAATTAATATAGACTTATTACAATACTTTACAGATTTATAAATATTCCACATAATGCGATTTGTTGTATTATAAATTACATTATATTAAATAAATTACAAACATTATTACAAAATTAGCATTCCGTTTGATACATGTTCTTCATAATCTATTTTACATAATATTTGGACATATCACAGTCGATTTTTCACGTTTCAATTTCTATAATTCTTTGGTCATTGAAACTTTAATGTAAACAGCATCTATTTCTGTTTTACAGAGATAAACGAAGTGTCCTCTTCGAGAGATTATCAGAGATAAGGTCGTTTCCGGACATATATATCCAGCACGAAGAATTTAAAGGACCAATTTCGCCGAGCATCGAACGTCATTTCATCGCACGTGATAAATTGAAAAATTGAAGTAGAAGTCCAATCGACGGGTTGGGATCGCGTTGCGAAGAATATTGTTCAATTTACGATTTTGGAAAAGGAACATTAATTATAATCCGTTATAATTAAAATTATGCATGTGTGATGAGTGCACGTGACAAATTAACAAGTGTTTGCGAATAAAAGTGACGAACGAAATAATTGAGTCACTAGATCGAGACTAAATATAAAAAAAAAAAAGAATGAAACTTAGACAATCAATGTTGACCAATCCTGTTAATCAGTGCTTAATGAGTGTCGCATGAACATGCGGAAAAGACGACAGCAGTCGAGATGAAGCTGGGAGATAATGTAACTATGGAAGGTAAGAAGATCATAATCAGAATGATTAAAGTATTAATCGATACTTCACAACTTGGCGCTTTGCAATTGTTTTTCATTTGTTGTTTCAATGGCATTATTTTTTTGTGACATTATTTGCCACAGTCACTCGTTATCCGTTCAGATTGTTCTTTCTATCCAACCTTTATCGATCCTCCCGTAGCTTGATTTCATATCAAATGCCGAATGAAAAAGTGGACTACATCGGTTAATATCATCTTGTTTTCCATCATATATATTTGTCATATCTTCACATTTTCATGTTAAGTTTATTATTTCTCGTGTTTGAAATTTTTCACATCACGATCAGATCAGATTCTCCGCATAAAATCAAAATTTCTCGTATATAATTACATTTTCTCTCGAATATCTTGTTAAAAATATCAATATATTTATCTTGAACTATTTCAAAATAATTAGGTAATAACATTTGAATAAACGTTAGTCATCTAATTATTCAGAAACAAACATAATAAAAATTTAATTACATCTTAAACATATATATAATTGGTAGACTGCTAAAAAGTAAATTATAGATTTATTTCTGAAAATGAATAATTTGAATTCAATAGTTGATTAAATATATAAGAATAGTACAATTCTTGTTAAAATTCAACGATTATAGTAGTGACGACGCTTTATTTCTGCGGCCTTTCCGATCAATATCAGGTATCACAGAAATGGGACGTCGAGAGAGAGACAGAGGAGTTAGCGAGAATTGATTATAACCAGAAAGGAAGATACGAGAGATAATACGGATGCGTGATCTCTTGATGATTTAACAATTAACGTATTCATATGCCTACGAATCGTCTATCGGATAATTGAATACATGAGATGTACATCCTTACATTGTTTCCTCTCATATTAATAATATACAGGGTGTCTGATTTCTAATGGTACACTGCTTGTTTGTAGATAGAGCAGGTCAAATTGAACAGAAAGGTTCTCTGCCATTTTGCGATTTGGCGATCAATAATGATTATTTATTAATTACTAAAAATCATCGCGAAAATTACAAAATAATAAAGGACTTTTCTGCTCAATTTCACCCCGCTCTATCTACACAGCGGTGCACCATTAGGAATTCTCGAATTAGGACACCCTGTATATTATTTAAAATAAAGTAACGATCCTATAATGTTTTACAAAAGAATTTTTTACATTAGAACAATAAAACTGCAAATTTTGTAATTTTCTATGTTTTCATGAAATCTCATGATAAATAATAAAAATAATTCCAGCAAAATAATAAATTACAAAATAATATGATATATAATATTATAAAGCTTTCAATAAAAAGAGAACTTCTATATCAATAGCTTATTATAGTGACAAAATTATAATATCAATCCTGTAATTAACATTGCTCACGCCATCAAGGCAATACAAATTGAATGCAGATCGACTACTATATTTCATATGTAATTATAAATCATTTTCTACCTCCGACTTTATTTTTCTATTTTTCTACTTTTCTATCGTTTTTATCTGAAGAAAAATAAATGGCATTTTTTTAAAAACATTGTTTGTGTCTCAGAAAATAAATAATTTTCAATATTCAGAAACATTCAATAGTTACGTTAAAAAAGTTTATTGAAAAAATAATGGCAGTATAAAAAATAACATAAAATTAAAAAGTTAATAAACGCTTAATATAAGTTTGGAAAGTAAAACAATTTCTAGAAAATCGTTTTACTTGAAAAAAGTGATACATATTTATTGATATTAAATCTGTACATTTTAATTGCTTGTGTTTTACACATATCATTATTATAATTAAAAATCTATACAATATCATTTAGATAAAGTAATAAAAAGAATACTTATAATAAATTCAACATCCATTCATATTCATCATATCATTAATCATCACAAACATTGCAAATACATCGTACACTTACAAATTTTATTTTAATTAAATATTTAACAGATATACATATGTGTTCTCTCTGGTGCGCATTAAACTAGAAATTTAACGACAGAACATCTTTAAATCATATGCGCATGTGTACATATCGGATATAAACGGTAAATATAAGAAATCTTTTAACAGAAATGTAAAATATTATATATTATTATGCATATATTATAAAAATAAAATTTTTAATAAAAAATAATTTTAATATTTTAAAATTATTACGATATCGATAACGTAACTTCAGCGTTTGAGAGAGAAATTGCAGCATTGCAAAGATTAAATCATTCGGTGGCATATTCAATTATGCCCGCATAATCGATGTTACTTCGTGACTTCGTAAAAGCGGAACTTTATAATTAGCAAATGTCGTTCGTAACATGATAAAATATCTTTAATATCCGTTATAGCATAATACTCTTCGAGTTTTACGTTTTACGAGTTTTTAGTTAAACTTGTTATGCTTACTTTCTATTATAAATTTTTCAATATTGCATATATCTGTTATCTCTTAAAATATTCTATGAAACTTGAAATTCTTCATTTTCTGAGAGATTGAGAAAAAACTGTTTAATTTTTATATTTATGTCTTTTAAACAATATAAATATAAAATTCTGTCTTTAATATTCATTAAAAATGTGTAATAGAGAAAAATATGAGAGCTTTCGGAAATCGTGCTATATCAACTTTTGTAATAAATTTCACTAACTGCATACAGATTATTTCTTCTTCTATATTACAAATAATATAAATATATTTCAAACTTGCTTATTTTTTTTAATTAACAAATAAATATAAAAAAAATTGTTCAAAATGCTATATCTGTATGTATTCTACAGAAATATTATTATTCGAATGGAAGTATAATTTCAACACACTCAGCAATCGATCACATCATCGAGATAAAGCCATAAAAATGTCGAACATAGGAGACGATAAACTTAATAATCAACAATAAATTCAATATAAATTCAAAAACAAATAATTCAATTTCATTGTTACTCTCTATTATTCGCTTTATGTTACAAATTTTCTAAGGATCAAATTCTATAATTAAAGAAATTAATAAGAAAAGCAAGCTAACAAATTATATAGACTAAATCGTTTCAGATAGAAAATTAAAACTCATTTTATATGTATTAAATACGATCACAACGTTAATTGTCTTTCTAAATACTAGCAAAATAAATAAATTTGTTTTTAAGCGACTGATTTTAATCAGTTTTTTTCTAATACTATGGATTTGTAAAATAGTTTATGCTTCAGTTTTCAAAAGTTATTGCGATACATACGAAAAAGAAAAAATGATGTAAAATGAGAAGCGATTAAATTCACACTGTCTAGAAAAGGAATTAAATTAGAGACAGACAGAAATATACATATCATCTCATGGAAGTGATCCGTATAATTTCATTATTATGAAAGGACAAAAGAACATGCGTACAAAGCACACATATCTCGGTTAAAAAACTAAAATTCCTCGATGTAAATTAATTTATTATGAATCATCTCTATAGCGAAAATAATGTGTGACATTCTATTTCTTGCACAGATATTTGCTATTTTTTGACAATTTCAATCACAATCTGTGTTTCAATGACAATCTGTGTTTCAATGACAATCTGTGTTTCAATGACAATCTGATTATAAAAGATTTGTCAAATTGTTTGTTAAAAATTATAAAATAATTTATTTCGAAATCCTGTCCTAAAAAAGACTAATATTTAGGGAAAATTTTTACGATACTAGAAGGAATAAATTTTTATTTAGTAGACTTTCGCTAAAATAATACAATTCTTATAATGTTAGCGGTATTTAATATAACAGTAATATATAACGGTATTTAATATCTAATATTGAATCAATAACATTTAATTCTATTTCTTTATATTAATATATGATCCTGCGCAGTAATGTTACCATTAAAGCAATCATATTATTATACTGGCATTTTTATTTATTTCAAATTAATAAATACTTATTTAATTTTGTAGCTTGCAATGTATGGAGCGACATGGGCTCTCCGCGAAAATATCGGCCACCGCGAATTGGTGACATTCCAAGGTAAGTAATTTCAAATTGTTTCATTTTTTTATAAATAAAACTTGAAAAATCATGATTCAAGACTTTTTAAAATAATGGAAGTAGATTGAGTATGTACGTAATTATATTAGTTACGAATGATTTATTCATATGAAATCATATGATTTATTCATAGTAAAAACATTTGCATCCTATTTATGTCACATATGTATTCTTATATTTAGAGTCGATCTAATATCGCTATCCAAACTGTTCATATACACGATTCTGTTTTGCAACGTTTATCGATGATAATATCGCTGCATAGCTAACTAAAAAAAAAAGTGTTTTCGTTTCGAGAGCAAGATAATATGTAATATGATGACGATACACTCGCTTACGCAAATGAGCGATATAAATGCAGATATGTATGAGCATACATCCACGTACATAATACGAAACGCGTATTATATAAAAGAAGAGATGAACTATGTAGTATCCGCTTCTCTGTGGAATGATGCATGTTCTAGAAGATTGACAAACATGTCTCGAGATCTTCTAAAAATAGATACATATTAATAATTTCAATTAATATCTCGATCAATGTATACTTCATATTTGGTCAAGTTCGAGATATAATCAGTTTAATTAAAAGTTGTTTTTGCAATTTATTAAAAATTATATAATTTTCTATTGGATGATACTTTCATCTTTATATAATTATTTGTTTTAAAAATGTGTCTATTCCAATGTGTCTATTCCATAGAAAACTGAAATTTTCAGACGACTTCTTTTAGACTCTTAAAAATCAAGAAATAAATTACGTAAATAAATGTATATTGATCTGATTGTCAATCCTTTGTAATGAAGCCATTATTTATTGAGTGAAAATTTTAGTGAAATGTTTACATTCATAAATTTTTGAATGAATTTCTTTCCAGATTGTTCATTAGATAGAAAATGTCTTAAGACTTCTTTTTATTGGCACTCTTTTTATTGGAATTTTTTTAAATTCTATTTTTAAATTTTGTCCTTTTCAAAAAAAGTTTTTAATAATTTTGTTTTTATAATGCACTGTTGATAATTTGCCAATCATTCAAGTTAGCAATCAATACGTTATATAGATTTGCATCTTATCTTATGTATATATTTACATTATAATATATACATTATGTATGCTTTACGAATACATTTATATGTGACGTCAGTTTTTTCATAGAGTTTTTTTATAGTTTTTTTATAGAAAATCTTACATTTCTAGCGAAACGATCAAATCAAACCATTAATATTTAAATATTAAAAGATTTTCTTTTATGTATAGAAAACATTAAAAGATGTATTTGATAAAATGAGTATATTTCAACATTATATTTAAGAATTCTTTAATTTTGCTTGTAAATTTAAATGACTTGGAAGATTTATGAATTTTTTAAGATTTAAATAAACATTCTATTTATATAGTTATAGTATAGATACTTATATTATAAATTATTAAATTAATTTTATAAAATTATCTATAATTTTACGATTAATTTATGCAATCTTTTATCATAAATCTAAAACAAGATTCTCAGACAAATAAATATCAATAAGTGTCATGAAACATGAGGGATAGGATCATTTCATTTTGACATCTCTAATATTCTAAATTTTTACATTTAATATAAATAGGAAATGTTTTACTTTTGACAATTGTCTATCGATTAACCTCGATTTTCAACGACTTCCGATTATACTATACTTGGTTAAGGAAAGTGGCGAAAAAGAAAGTTCAAGGAAGACTGCCTAAACTACCATAATACATCCAGGCATGCGAATAGATATTTTTAACCATACAGTCGAAGCCGATCGATATATACCAAGGTGATAGAGATTTGTGTCTAAATAATTGCATCTTTGTTCTTATCAATGTTGAAAAGAGAAAGAGAAAAAAACTTGAGTTACTTGATGTTGCCTTCGTATTGAAGATTTAATATCTATTACCTTTTGTCAAAGAAGTCTTAAGATATTTTCTGTCTGACGATCGATCCGGGAAGGAATTCATCCAAAAATTCATGAATTATGCAAACAATTCACAAAATTTTCACTCAATAAATAATGACTTTGCTACGAAGGACCGGCAATCAGATCAATAAACATTTATTTAAGTTATTCCCAAAGTACAGTCGTTGCAGTACAGAGGATTTCGCAATACATAGAAACGGGGATGAAAAATAAGCACTGGGAAATCGCAAGAGCGGGCAACGCGAGATATTTTAAACTTCAGCCGAGCGTCGATCGATGGCCAGGCCATTACTGCTTAAATTATTGAATCTTGCGGGACTAACCGATACAAGGTACGAAGCGCTGTTACGCGAGGGTGAGAGTGAACATTGCGAACGCCATAGCGATCGGCTAGCTTTTTCCCCAAAAGGTCATCTCTTCTTTTTTTCTATTTTTTTTCTTTTTTTACTTTCTTCTTTTTTATTGTTTCTCTCAGAACGCCGGAGTTACGTTTATCTCATCGCGACACGAAGTGGCGATAATGCGTTACGTAATACTCGTCCGCATATTCCTATAGCGTAGGATAGCTCGGAAATATATAGCCTCGGAATCACACGCGACGTTCTGAATGACATTGTTTTCGTCTACATTGTTCAAGATAGGACGATCATCAGAGTAACGCGGTTATGAATCTCGGGATTTCGTCGATGGAGGTTTCGTAATATTTGTATCGCCGTGCGTTATCCAGCTGACATAATAGTTCAATTGTCGACACACATCATATGTACACTGAGAAAAAAATGCTGTTGAATTAATAACATAATCTAATTGGAAATAATTTTGTTAATTCAATAACATTATTAATGAAACAGTATATCATGCTTTTGTTTTAATAATCAAGATCCTCGTTTCATTAATAATGTCATTGAATTAACAAAATTTATTTCCAATTAGACTAATGCTGTTGATACAACAGCATTTTTTTCTCAGGGTATGTATTATTGAATTAGAGTGTCAAGAATTTGTTCAATCTTAAATAAAACTTTATTAATATTATTAACATCTTTATCTAAAAATATACGCGTGTTTATTTGTGATTTGTTTATTTTCATTTGTTGATTCTCGGTAAAAAAATTAAACAAATAATATATTTAAGTATTCACATGTACTGTATTATAATCGTACTGTATGTAGTCTTATAAAGAGTAAATATATAACTAAACTTGAATTTAATATTCTTGTGAATATATTCAAATTCCGTGGAAATTGAGATTCAAGCAGCATCAATTATAAACTTCTACAAATATATAATAAAATATATATATATATATATATAAATAAATACAAAATGTTTCTCTTCAGGATATTAGATCATATTTAATAACATCATTAATATTTTATTTTCGAAAACAATGTTGTGTAATGTACATATGTAAATATATCCAAAATTACGTTTTTATCTTGATAACAATTCTTCGAAATTATAGGAACGTTTTTAAAATTTTCACATAAAATTGTAATACTCTATCATAAATAGACATAAATAGAATATTTGACAAATTGAAAGAATTTATAATATCATGAAGAATTTTTTTTATGTATTCACGTAGCATATGTCATATTATTTGATTTTTGTGAAAAAGTATCTCTCGTATTTATTATTGACAGAATTGATGCAAACGATATATAAAATGAATCACAAAGGGCTGGAAAAGTTTTAATAAATAACATGTTCAATATGATCTTTACTTTCTCATATTTCCTTAGAAACAGATCTTTACATTAAAATGTATGAACGTTTCGTATTTTACTCCATATAGATATGTACAGCAGATACATATCTCGCGCAGAGAAGACGTTATTTACATATGACATTTTATCTTTAAAATATCTTCTCTTTTATTCTATGTAATTTCAGTCTTCAGAAAGAACTAGTCCGTAATTTGCCTCGATAATTCGGACCGAAAGATTAAGAAAGAAAAGATTAAGAAAGAAATTTACGAAAGAGAATGGAAAACTAACAAAAGATACGCGAGAATAAAAAAAAGAACGAAAAATATATGGGATTTAACCGTGTGTGCGAAGTCGTCAGTTCCCGCGCTTCGTTGAGCTTGCATTTGCGGAATTTTCGGTTCGCTGAAGCGTATCAAAGCCGACCTTTCCACCTAGAGGCGAATCGGCCTGCGTCTGACGCACACCCTCGCAGTGAACATCATGATTTTTGCCTGTTATTTTTCAAACGAGATGAAACGATATAAAAAAATAGTAGCCTACTGTTGCTTCCAATATCTTAAATATCTTTACGATAAATTTTTTCACCAATACATTGCGGCTTCGTGTATGCAGAATATATTTAAATCCGTAAAGAAGACCACTTGTTTATCTAGAAATATATTTTTAATTTTCACAACTTTTTTAAACATTTTTATTTTTATTTTAAGTATTATTTATGAATAGTGGAAATTTAGATTTATTTTTTGTAAACTTTTACAGTCTTTTGTATCTTAATCATGTGTCTAACAACATTTTCCGATCATTAAATTGTACTTATAGATACAAAGAATATCTAAGAATAATGTACTTGAAGTTGCAAGATAATCAATATATCTGTTTTCAACACTAAGAAAAAAAAGTCATTACAATTTTGATTATGTGAAAATATTCCTATATTAATTTATCTCTCATAATAATTCCTAATAGAAATTTGAATAATATCAATTACTTCTTCTAAAATAATTAATTTTCTTACATAAGTGTTATAATCATTAAGTGTTATAATCATTAAGAAAAGTTTATTTTCATGAAATTATTTCTTTTACGTGACTTTCGTTATGTTAATTTTATTTAATAAAATTAAATTAACTTCAGTTACATTTTTAATTATCGCATTGCACGAAACTCTGCAGAAATTCATCGCGAAAATTATACATATTCTCTAATTTTCTTAGTTTATAGGTTTCATACTTTGTCAGCTATATCGCGCAATATTATACACAAAGCAAATTATTTTCATCTTAAAGAAAACATTTTACTTAGAATAGTTTCAAATATTCGAATAG